GGAAAAAAACAAACAGCCAATCATGCCAATGGGAATTTTTAGCAAGCTTCAAAGTCTCGGCAACCTAGCAGTGAAGACAAGCCTTGTAGTACTCATCACTGAGTAAAACAACTTCATGTTGATCCTGAGCTTGGGAAAATGTAACTTTATACCCCCATTTCTTGCACTGTCCATGGGGCTTGCTTCAAAAGGGGGGTGGGGGGGAAGGTGGTTAGAAGTTAGAAAAAGAATGACTATTTCTTCCTAGAATCTGCTGGATCTGCTTTATGTCAGTAGGATAAGCAGGGAGCTTTAATTTGTGTAAGATAAGCATAAGGTAAGATAGCCTATAAAAGGAAAAATGTGTGACTGCCTGCAAAAAAAAAAAAGGCATAGTCTCATGTGTGTGAAGTGTCAGCATTGGCAAAGTTTTCTCACTATCTGGCACTACTTAGAGAGTGAATCTACCCCCCACCCCAAATATCATTAGGGAATTGTGCAAGACACTTCCTAATAGTAAGTGTGATGTCAAAACATCTCTGTCAATAAGATTTTCCAGATGAGGATTACTGAATTGGAAAGACTCTTGACAGCTTTTTCTTTTCTGTAAGTGTAAAGCTTTGTACTCAAGTGTGGGTTTAACTACTGGCAGAGAGGGAAGAAAGTGGAAAAATTTGGAATACTGTCTTGTGAAAAAATGGGTTTCTGAGTAGTTGCTGATACTGTGAAATAGATGAACTGCTTGTGCATTTACTTAAACATTTCTTTGCAGTAATCACAGAAGCGCTTAATTTCAGAGTCCTCAAACCTTTCATCCCAAACTAATCTTCAAAGTTCTGCAAGTCTAGCGCTTGAGAAGAGAGCAGGTGCTGTGAAAACAAGTTGATTGCTGAATGCAGAGAAAATTGAAGAATATGGTGTTTCAGCTTAGGCATAGCACTAGCACCTTGTTAAACCATGTCCTCATGGTGCTGAAATTCTACGAATATTTTCCTGACAAGCATGTGGAGCTCTCTGGCTTCCTCAACACAGATGTGCTGAGCTGCGGCTCTGTCTGGTACTTATTCCCCTCCAGATCAATGGAATCGGTAACACGAATATCTGTGGAAGCTTTGAGTCAGACTTGGAGAACCCAGAGAACCTGAGGATAGAAAGGACTTGCTGGCTAATCCAGTGGGTGGTTTTACTTGCTTTGATGTGTGAGTGTGCATCGTGTTTTGCTGGGCCTCCTGTTTTTCTCTAGGGGATCAATCCGTAATTCGGTAGTTACATTGAGAAGGTGCCCTTATCATTCAGCCTCTGCCAGCTTTGTCACACCACAAGATAAACTTTCTTCTAGTTTATGCCTTTCTACTGGCAATTCTAACACTTTAATTTTTCACCATTTAGTGCTCCACTGTGCCATATGTGCTTAGCTATTTCCTAGTCTTGTGTTTCACTGAAGGTATTCATTTCCCTGTCAGACTCCTGCACTCTGCTTAAATGAGTCTGCTCATTCAGGTATCTTTACGAAGACATTATATGGAGACAAGACATCAGGCTTCATTTACTGAGCTGCAGTGTTCAGTAATTCACTTGTGAAATAATGTGCTTTATAAAATACTGCCAAGCAGAACTTACTACTTAAAAGTATGTGCTTTCTTGCAAGTGACAGTGTAAGACAAATGATCCTTTTATTTGCTGTGTGTTATGTTCCATTTTTATACTAATTAAAGAAATGATACCTTCTATCAGGCAAGTCCTGCTCCCTATGCTAAGTTGCCTTTGTGCATGGGAAGGAATAGAACTGAATGAAATGGTTGTCAGTGTCAAGTCCTGCAAGGCAATCTGTCTTAGACTTGCTTCTCTGGGATTAGAAATCCTAGCTAAAAGTACCAAGTGGTTCAGTTCAGTTATTTTTTGTAGTAAGTGTTTGCACTTTGATTATTTTTCCAGATAATTTAAAATTTTTCCAGATTTTAAAGGTAGTTTATATTGTTTTTAAAAATGCAGCTTACAATAACAAACTGTAGTCATTGTCATCAGTCTTATGGCAGCCTTTTCAAGAAAGTATAGCATCTTTACTTTTGTCTTTGTCATAAACCATGTGAAATTTGTGGCAAAACTAAGTTTCAAGAAAGCTAAACAGCCTTTAAATTACCTTGTTTTAAGACCTTTTTGAGATGTCCAGTTATACCATATATATTGGAAACTGAGAGTATACTTTAGACCTCAACTGAGACCTGAAACTGGTTTCGTGTTATTACTTAAGGCGTTCTTTTAACTTGGTAGTAATATATTGCCCAAGTGGAAATAATTAAAGCTTATGCTTTTTCCTGTTAACTGGAAGCCTTGTTTCTCCCGTTAGAAGTGATCTATGAGGTAGGTATTGATGGAGTAAAAGGCATGGATCTCTGCAAAGCTGTTCTTTTGATGTCAGACTGCCATTTTGGAAAGAATCAAAATAAGACTTTGCAGTTACCAACTCTTATTTCATGACACTACAGTTTCACTGGATACTGTTGTAGTTTTCATTTGAAAAAGATGTACTGAAATCTGATGTGCAAATTCCTACTTGGATGATTTAGGTTTTACTTCGCTAGTGAAAGGTGTAGGAATTTTGAGAGTTGTCTGTACCATTTTATTTATAAATGTATTTTCTTCTAATACTGCGTTCTTGGGAGTGGTAAAATGTTTTTTTTTAATTAAAAATGTCTATGTTTTTGAAATGCTGGCTAATGGCAAGCCAGCACTTGCAGTGTGATTGCAAAGAAGCCTGCGTTGTGCAGCCGCTTGGCTGGTTTGATAAGACAGGATGTTCCCCTGGCTTTGGGAAGATGTTGTTTGTGTGCTGAGAAATTGTTGGGAAACTGTTCCGTTGTCAAACAAACTTAGGGTTTGAAAAGGCTTTAAGATTTTTAATTTTAAATATTTCTGGTTTTTAAAGAAAAGAGACAGCAGTATTGCCAAAGAAATTTCACTGGGATTGCACAATGTACAAGTTGGATCAATACTTTGTCCCAGTTGTATTTCTGGCAATACTTCATGTGCTAAGCACAGCATTTTCAGTCATGTACAGCGTACTTATCTATGGCTGAAAAGAATGCATTAAAATTTTGTAATCTTCAACTTGTAACATGACATTCTTAATGTTACATTGGGCTAATACATTCCTAAAACCAAGAATGTCAGTAGTCAATAACACCTTTAAAATGGTATAGGAATTCCAAAATAAACTTGAAAAATTGTATCTATTCCTTCAGTTGGCAACAAGTTGCCTTCAGGAATTGTAGGAAACATCATCTTACAGAGAACAGGAATAGCCTCAGAGTGGATAAAGTATTGGCATAGAAGCCAGGAATTTCTTACTTTGTGTCTTCTGTTCTGTAGAATAGCATGCTCTGCTTTCATGGTTCAAATGGCATGTTTGTCTGAAAGACAGCTCCTAAAAATGCTTACTGTATTTGCTTTCATAGTGGACTCTTGCCCCGAGCTGTTAACTGGTCAAGAGTTAGAGTACTAAAGTGGAGAAGGGATATCTAGCTAAAATGTAACCTTAATGTTTATTGTAAACATCTGAAGATAACACATTGTTGATAGTTTTTCTATTTAAGAAATTAATTGAAAAATATCTGTGGGGGTGTGTGTGAAAATATATGGATACTTTTATATATATTCACACACACACACACAAAAGTAATCTTACTCTTTTCCAGATTGCTTATTTAGTACTTCTGAGACAGAAAGCTATTGGCAGTGCTTTGAATCAACTCTTAACCAAGAGCTGTAAAACCTATGGAGGAAACTTACCTTACTGCACATCAGAGCTGCCTTCAGTATTCTTGAGAGCAGAAATGTTTCCCTTGACCAGAAGTTTCCCTGGCCTCAGGCTCTCTGCCATGCTGAAGCACCAAAACAGGGGCCTGCTGGATATGGTGGAGGGCAGTCTGGAGAGCTATGAAATTTTTTATTAAGTTGGCCTTGTTTGTGTATGCCAAACTCTTAAGCAAGGAGTGCTGTATTACAAATCTAAATGGCACAGAAGCCTGGCTGACACCGGGCTGATAGCCTGTGAAGCAGCACGGTTACAAGGCTCTGTGCATAAAATAGAAAAAATAGTTCAAATACAGTTTTTCATCTCTGTGCTTAAGACTGAATTAGGAATGTCTTTCCATTTTGCCCTCTCTTCTTGATGAAGAGGTGGGTGGGATTTGTTTTACAGCTGTGATACTCAGATCCTCACAGAAACCAGATGTGAAGGGGAGGACCTTGCTGAAGGCACCCTGGACAGCATCAGCTCTCACGTGCCTTCAGTCTGGACCTACTAGAAGCCTTTATGAGTTGAAGGCAATGTTGACACTCTTTAAATGAGATAGCCAAATATGAAGCTATTTGTACAAATGTTAGATGAGGTGACATCTTTTGCAGTTGGCTGACTGATGAACTGCCTTCCTGCCTTTCCCTCTGCCCTTCAATGACTCATGATTGTGTCTGTATGAATGAGTACATTTAGCAAAGGTATATGTATACGTGGTATGAACATCTACATATGAGTTGTTTAAGTACTGCCTCTGGTTAGGGGCAATTAATGTGTCATTTGTTCTCATACACATACTGTAGCTGTGAGATAAGTAATTTTAAAAATTGATAATGTTTACAGTATTGTGGCATTTACCAAGAAGATGAAACAAATACATTGCTGTAAAGGACACCTGATTCCCAGCTTTGAGTATATGTTCACTTGCAGTTCAAACTTCAGTCAAAGACAAGTAGTTACTACCTGATGTGGAGATCAACTTAATGCTGGAATAGGATAGCTGCTGAGTAGTGAAGTCTGTGCTGTTTGTCAAAAGCTGTTGTTGGACATGTGTGATGACTGTTGTGCCTAGATAGCCTCCTTAAAGAGGAGGCTTTAAAGTCTCCTTAAAAAGCATGGAGATGTTTGCGTTTTACCAGTTCACTTGCGTAAGATAAATTGGTATCACTGTAGACTGAATGTTGCAAAAGAAAAATAGTGAAATGTCTGCTCTCTTCTCTTCCAGACTATCGTTTTACTCTGGCCATTCTTCGTTCTCCATGTACTGCATGCTCTTCGTAGCAGTAAGTATGCTCTTTCCATCTAAATGGCAACAAAAAGTCCATTAGTTACGTAGTACAAAAATTGAAGTATTTACTTGACTGCTTTGCACAAGGGACATTGCTTTTGTAGGATGCTTGTCTGAGATGATTGAGGATTTCTTAGTAGGCGTTGGCCACTCATACTGCGACAAGAAGTTCCACATGCCTAAAAACACTTAATATGGTAGTCAGCTTGTGTGTCTTGTCTAAAATGAACCTTGTGACAAGTGGGTTTGGAAAATACGCTGCTACTTAAATTTAGTTATATTGAAAGCATTGCAAGCCATATAGAAATATTTAGTAAGATGTGCCTGACTTCATGAAATATGCAAAGCCTATTTAAAAAACCAAAAACCCTAAATTTAAACCCTGATCAAATGTGTGTGGGCCCGTAAGCACAAAATAGCAGATCAACTTGAATTTTTAAGTTCCTTTTAATTTTCTTGTATCTTTTAGAGGCGAGGAGGGGGAGTGAGGAAAGCAAGAGGACAGATCTGTCTGTGGAAGTAAATACTAATGATAAGATCAATTCACTAATGCTTCAATTGAAGCCTAGTATATTTCAGTTCAAATTGTTCCAAGTCATCTAGGGCAAACTTATCTTCACTCCTAGGATAAGCTTTGTGACATTGAAAGATTGACTTGGTTGTTCTCACCTGCTATTGATAACACAGAAGGTGTTAAACAACTTTTGTGCAATTTTGTTGTTAGTGTAGTTGTAAAATCAAGTTCTAGTCCTGGATGTAATTTGCTAACATAATACATACATGCCAGGATCTCCACAGAGCTCCTATTCAATTTGCCTTTTTGTCTTGATTGCGTTATTAATTTTTGTCACTGTCTCTTGGCAATAGGGTAACATCCACAGTGAGTGGACAGGTTATTCAAACTAAACTAAAAACCCTACAACCACATACAGAAAGGGGCGGCTCTGCAGTACGACATGGGTATTTTTAAACTTTATTTCAAAATGAAGCTTTTTCGGAAGCTCAGTGTTCAGTTTGGATCTATCATTGCAGTTTGTTTATGGCTAAAGCTGTTTAGTTCCTCTCTCCTCTTACCCGTCTTTATCTCATGTAAATACAAAGAGTTCATAAAAGTATTATGTCCTGGGCTTGACTAGAATATAGTGCAACTGCTATCTGTCAGCTGGTTGGTGTGTGGGGTTTTTTTTTTTTTAAAGTGTCTTTTCTTGCTTATTTTGAGTGGCAGTCTCCAAAGTTATATAGGACCACTTGTGATATGATTCCAAAACCAAAACCACTATTTCCATGGTACAGTGGAGCAATTACTGCTATATAGCGGCCTTCTACTTATGTGCTCCAGTGGGTTCAGCCATACCCTTCAGATCCAGCTTCTCCATGAGTGGTTTTGTTGAGCAACGTGAGAATGTGATACTGCCACCTCTCTGAAGCACTGACTTAGAGAAAAGAAAAAACTTGCTAGGTGTGTGGCAATGCATGTGTTTTTTAATGATGGACTACAGTCATTTGACTTTATCTGTCTGATGTTTTTACTTCTGTCACGTGTATCTGTAAGGAGAGTCCTGCTTGCTGTGGCCTGGGTTGATGGTGGTGGTCAGGAGGACTTCTCAGCTGGTACAAACTGAGAGAAAGGAGGTGCTATATTTCAGACCTTGCATCTGTTAATTAAAGCCTGTGTGTGCCCTGGCTGCCTGCCTCTTCCTCCCCACCCCCCTTCGCTGTAATGCCAAGATCATCTTTAATTGAATACAGTGTGATAGAAGATGTGCTCAACAGCTTGGACTTCAGCCGTTGTTTGTTTAACCTACTAGGATTTGAAAAAAAATGCAGCCTTTGGCAAGAAAGTCAAGAATTCTTTGTTTTGAAGATACTAACTTCATGTGGGTTGAATAATGCTTCTGTAGCTGCCTGTGGCATGTTTTTTTGAATCCATGCAAAAGAGCTTGTGTATTCCTGAACAGGCAACTATGAACCTTACCTGTCCTGGGGCTTTGTGTTTGTGTATGTGAGCTTCGCCCTTAGCAAGCTTTTGCGTGGGGCAGAGGTGAGACAGTGGAAGTCAAATCCATCCTCTGCATGCCACTTTGAAATGCTGTAAATCCAGAGCTTGTCAGTCCCAGTTCAAGCAATGACCTAAAACTTGTGGCTTAGCATGCTGCTACAGAAACTGCCCTTGTGTTCATTCAGTTCAATAGTAACTGCAAGACGGTTACTTTAGTGGCTTCCTTAGCTCCCTTGACCTAGAAGGATGTGAGTGGCTTTCATAAATGCCACATTAACAATAAGCATTTCATTGGGGATCAGTTTGTTATTCAGTAAACTTGTCAATGAGTAGCCAGAACCCTGGCTGGAGGAGAAGGTGTTCTTCATTTATTCCTGCACCCCAGTTTCTTGTCTCTGGCTGAGTACAAATAAGAGGCTTTGGAGATTATACTTCTGCTTTCTTCTGTCCTGTAATAAGATTATTAACCCAGAAACTGTTGGGAGGCCTTCATAGGGACATCTGAAGAAGGTTAATGACTCTGTGCAGGATAGTTTTATTAACACAGCATTACTGCATACCAACCTTTGCACCGAATGTGGTCTTTTTAATTTAAAAAAATCTCAAAGTACAGATGTCTTCAAGCAGACAGCTGCTGTGGGAAGGTGAGGAAGATGGCTTTTTAACCCTTCCCCTTGCCCACGTGGCAAGGCAGAGTGCTGCCACTGGCTCTAAACCAAACCTACGGCACTTGATAACCTGTTTAAGTGAACTCTGATGCTGGTTTCATCTGCTCTTTGCACATTCGCTCCAGCCATGGACTGAGTCATTGGCAGGGCAGGACCGTTAACATGTGGTGTTACTGACAGGCAGTATTAATGAGAACCAGACACTAGCATGCTGGTTTCTGGAGAGACTGGAGGAGTGTCCCATGTGTGCATACTGCAGAAAGTACACTCTTAAATGTTACTTGCTGAACACATGTACAGTGTCAGGTTATGCATTACAAAAATGAAGGAGCACTTTGGGGGAGTCAAAGGGGAAATTCTCTGCCACAGGCAGCACGAACACTGCAACTGTGAAATGAGAGATGCCTGAAGTGTGTGGCTTAAATAAAGACACCTTGCAAAATACTAGGCAAAGTAATGAAATACTTCTGCAGCTTCAGTTACTTAAAGGAGAATTGCTGAATTACAAACATGTTAAATTGTAGCCTTTTTAAATTGTGTGATGGATTAAAAACATGAGGTGGTCATCAGATTAAAATGTTTTTTGATGCTTTAAACCTTTGGTGACATGAGAAATTCCCTAAGTCTCAGTGGGAAGGCATGTGAGTTCTGACTATGTGACTTTGCTGATATCGGGAGAAAAAAACCCTGCAATTTTGAACATAATCCTGTGCTGCCTGTCCCACATCGTAGTGAGGGCAGTACATGGAAACACCTGACAGCTAAGGCGCCGTATTTGATGTGAAGGAAGTTGTTGACAAAACCTGTAAGCTGTAGGTGCTGCTCGGTGGGTGTTTCATCTCTTAGGGATGTTGTGACTTCAATGTCTTCATATTCTGGGGGCTTCATTACCCTCAAAGCAGGGGTTTTGTCTAGATGGTCTCTTATTTTCTTGCTTCAGGAGCATGTAGAAGAACATCTGTTATTTAGTTCAGAAGGAAGGATAGAAGCTGAAAAGCTTAACATTCCAAATTGAAAATCCATAACTTGAATTTAAAAAGAGATAAAGAAACTGGAAAGAATGTCATGCCATATGAGCTGTTCAAAATGAATAGTTTAAGCACGCACATACCTGGGAATTTGAAGCATTTCTCCTTAGTTTGTCTTTTGGTTTGTGGGACAGTGTTGGGAGAGCAGAACTTCACTTCAGGAATGGAAATACTTACTTGGTATGTAATTTCGGCTCGTGTCTTTCTGGGAGGACACAAATAACCTTTGTTCCCCCCAGCATTTACAGTTACATAATATTGTCTTAGGTTCCTTACAGGAACAGCGTTCACCTTCTGTGCATGTGGCAGTCAAGCTTTTAAAGGTTATCTAAATAAAAGGAACGAGTCAGTGATACCATATCAACTTAAATGCTTCCGTAATTGATAGCAGCTTTATTAAGCTAGACCCTGCTTAAAGCCTTTCATGGCAAACTATAATGAATCTGCGTTTTGTTACCGTGTTTGAATTGTCAGTGTACTTAATGTGCAAAATCTCTGCTTGAACTGGTCTCATGTAGCTTGCTGTATGTAACTACCTGGCATTAAAACAGCAGCAAGGGCAGTGCCTACTGCAGGTCACTGTGGCACCTGCTATTGAGAAAGGAGGTTTGCTCATCTGCAGACTGCTTTAATTCTGTTTCATAAAATGTTTACTTAAGTTCTAAGAGATTGATAATACAATAGAAATGTGTGGGTTTTGAATAACCTTAGGGAGTGTTAAATAGTTTATATAATCTACCTGTTTAAAAAAGCAATGCATCACTTATAATTCTTACAGCATAGAGATTGCTGCTGCTTTTTCAACTGGATGTTATGCTGCCATGTACCTGTAAAAAAAAAGCTGTTGTGTGTAGCTGGGGCAGTTTAAGGCCTGGGTAATCTGCTTGCAGATTGTTGGGCCACAAAGCTGTGGTGGAGAATGTATTTTGAGATTCATTTGGCCAAGCTTGGTGGGTCAGAGCTTTGGGTCTAGACAGAGCTGTTACCTTAGGATGTCTTTGCCAACCACAGCTTCATGTAGAAAGAAACTAGAGGGAGTTAAAGCTGCAACAGTATGTGGGAACCCAGTGACCTGGTAACAGGTGCTGGATCCCAAATGGTCTCTGTCATCCCCTCCCCCTGCTCCTACTTTCCTTTCATAGTTAAACAGCTGGCATGATCTCTTATGGATCAACAAAACCATTTTATCTTGGCTTGGAGAACGGGAGGGCGAGTGTAGTTGAACACCTCTTCTACCAGCGTCCACACGACCAAACTAGCACCCTTCCACTAGAGGGGGAGATGCTGCACTTAACCAGAA